GGCTGTCTTTCTAAGGGGATGGGTGCGGTCTTCCAGCCCACCACCTCATGTGGCTCTTCATCTCCGAACTGGCGAGGAACCAGAACTCTCCGGGTGTCGCTTTCCACAACATTCACAGGCAGTTCTGAGCATGAGGTTCTACACTCACACGCACATACACCCGCGGACGCGCACACTCACACCTATGTACACACATCAAAAGAGAGATAGTCAGCTCATAGTTAGTCTAGGAAAAAAATATATTTATATCACGGCAATGGCACACCCTGGGTAAAATGTTACTTCAGCAATGCATATCATAGGCAGCTCATGGGAACTGGCTTTGTTTTGTGTGGTGGCACCCAACCTGGTGTCCATGGTACAACCTGTAGCCTTGGGTCACTCGCTGCCACACCAAGGCAGCAATGACATACAGGAGCGAGATATGGAAATACATATAAATAAAACCACAAGGAGTTCAGGAACAAGGGCTCTGCAGAGCTGGTGCTGCGAGACAGTACATTCCTCAATGCAACGGGAGACCCCGTGCTGAACCTTTTGCACGGTTGTGGTTTCTTTCACTGGGAAAGGAGATTCCGACGTCATCCAGGTATTCTTCTCGGGTATGGGTGGTGTTTCATCAGTGTCTTTGCTCCAGAACTGGCATAGCAGAAGCAGAAGAAATGCGTTTCGAAGGGACTAAGGAGGGTGTGTTCTGTTTTCTTCTATGGGCTTTGTAATCAACAGGAAGGGCTGTGAGGCCAAGATAGCAGAGTCTACTCCCTGTAGAGAAAAGAACAAGAGTTTAGACAAAACAGCAGCCAATAGTGCCAGCCAGTTGTCAGCCAATATTGCAAGAAAGAAGAGAAGCACGTAGAAGTTGGTACGGCTCAGAAAGAAGTAGTTCAGAAGGGAGAGTGTTGAGTTCTTGCTTTCCTCCTCGGAAAAATGACAACTGGAGTAGCAACAAGAAAAAATGTCTATTAATAGCTTAATTATAACAACTCGAGGAAGGTACCAGTCCTACCCCTATCATACAGATGAGGTCATCGAATCATAGCAAAGCTGAGCTATCTGCTCAGTGTCACGTCCTACATTGTGAAAGAACAAAGCTGGGATTAGAACCCACACAGTCTGAGTCTACAGCCATGCCTTAACCACTGTGTGAACAGTCTCTGTGGAAAAGAAAATTCTGACTTGGAAGAATTGTGCAAGAGGAGAAAGGCTTAGAGTTGGTAAAAGGATGTGAAAAGCAAATTGTACTACCGGAAAAGCCCCAGCTACTAGCACTCAGCCTTTCCAGAAAGGGAAATTATGTATCTTGGGAACAAATCTGGAAACACCACAATCTGCCAATATTCAACACTATGATTGAAAAAATGCAAACCAAGAGATAAAAAGCACTGAATGTTTTTTCCTAAAAAGTAACTCCTAATGAAGGAGAGTATCTAGTAAAGGATTCATACACGCTTGCATGTAACAGGCACAGAGAGGGAGCGTTGGGGCTATGGCACAGGGTGACGTCCGGCGTGCCAGCGAGAAAGGTTTGAGGGGCTTGAGCCCACCAAGAACTGATCAGTCTCAACTGTCCAATCAGTCTAGAACAGAACAAGATCAGCACGACGCAATGGAATCATTGTGGCTCCTCATTGTCCTCTCCATAATCAACACGAACCAAAATAACCAATTTCTCTTCTTTCCTTTGTGACAACTGACCACCAAGACTGCTTTGGACACCATATCTCCCGCCACAATGGCTATGATTGGCAGTGGATGACCTCAGGTGGAGAGCAAAGGATTAAGACCGGAATCTATCTTCACAATTTTGCTTATTTTATTAAACCAATTATTTATTTGCTTGTTTTGTACATATGTGTCTTTATTGTGTATGAGCTATAAATCAAATTTAGTTTCTTTGAGGTAAATAACTGTTATTTAGTCTTGTAGGAATTACTTTATATAGAGAGAAATAAAGTTTTCTTATAAAATATTCAGATAGAGATGACTTCTTAAGCAATTTAAAATTCTAAATGTGGGTAAGGTTATAACTACCAAGCCCTTCAAGAAGCCATTTGTCAACATCATTCATTTTGACAATTATGAAGAAAATGAAAGGACCCGGATCTACTTTTCCAGCTTTATCTTCTCTGCAGATTAGTAAGTCTATCAGGTGTACAGGGCTTGCACTAGGCAAGCATGAATTTACATGCAGGACAAGGAGAACATTAGTATGACCTTAAGACTGACAGAGTACAACCAACACCATATGGGTATGCCCACTTTTTGAAGGTGATTTTGTTTTGCTGCTAGAAATTCCATTCTTAGAGGAGAAAAAGGAGTCCCCAAAACATGTCTGTCCCATCAGTTCACCAACACTCTTCAATAGTTCACAATAGGAAGTGGGCTATTTGGGGACTCAGTGTGCACGTCGAAAGGGTTGGACGTTTGAAGTGAGAAGTGTGGGAATGTGAAGGATTAGATCTAGTTGATGCCAGAATACTCCATAGAGCAGAGAAAAAGAAACCTTTGCTCCTTTGAATTCAGACAACTCCTTATTTTTGGGGAACTGCTTGAACAAAGACCAAAGCCTGTGGTCTATGCGGCATCATGAGGGAAAGATGTGACTTTTGTTGTGACTAAATAAACAGAACATGGTTCCTTTGAATCCATTATGAAGACATCAAAGTGTCTTACCATCCAGTTCTTTTCATTACAACGGGGTCTTGCTTGTGCATTTCACCCTTTTCCATTATAAAATAACAATGTCATGAGTTTCAAGGCTAAATGATAAAGCAGTATTGGATGGGTCTGCCACTTTTTGTAGAGATACATGTTTAAATCAAACCCTCACAAATCCACTCAAGGTGAAGCAGCTTCATCTGCATGGCTCCTACCACTGAACTTCACTTCACCCCACTCTGGCATGTCGCAATACAACATTTGGGTTCGTGAGTGAAAGATGGATGAGTAACACTTGGAAAACACTGGAGGAAGAGTACACCTTCCTTCCGTGAAGTTCAGTGCATTCTACATAAGAGCATTTCATATACACTTACAACAATGCCATGTGTTAGGAGAGGTGTTATTATTAAAGTATCATTATCTCTAATTTACAGGTGGAGGGACTGAGTTATAAAGAAACATGGAGTGAATTTCCCAGTGTCAACATCTCAGTTGGCTTTAGAATCCATAGCTATCTAGATGCCAGAGCCTGGCTCCATGTCCTGGGAAACAATGGAACATTCCTATTGTCCTCCTCTTTCTCTTCAAAAATGTGTAACATCACAGAAGCGGTAGACTTTCACTTCGGCTATTACTGGATATTATTTTAGGCACTTAGAAAGCCCTCTTTTGGCCTTCCCATTGGCCTGGACTCTACAATGTGTTAAAATTAAGATCCAGAAGGCAACCTTTTAAATGTAGTGAGATTTCAAGCCTTGCCTGATTATCCTGCACATACAGAAAATATGCCCTGAGAAATAACACCATGACCACAGTATAGTGTCCAGCGTTAACCTGGATATCTTACAACTGACACTCTTTTGAAATGTTCTGCTTTGAGTATGTTCAGTGTGTAGAAAAATACCTCATCTTACATTGTTGCCTTCAAAGCAAGACTTCTAATTATTCAATGTATGCAAGGAAACACTCAATTTTGACTTCCAAGATAATACCATGATGTTACCTTATTTGAATTGGTCCGTGGAGATTGAAAACAAAATACTCCATAGCCTTCCAGAAGGAAATATATATATATATATATATATTTTTTTTTTTTACAGCAAAAACCACCTATATCTGTCACCTTTGAACATGAATATCTAGAACTCTTAGGGTTCAGCGAAAGTGGTGATAAAACAAAAATGGTTGAAGTAGTTTAAAAAAAAACAAATTTCACATTCCTTCTGAACAGAAAAGCTTTTACAACCAATGTTGCAAAAAGGTTTTTACTAAACTGTCATGATTTGACAGCATCAAATTGAACATGCCTTGCTCTATAAGAAATAGCTTTCAGCATAAAACCAAGGGGGTGGGGGGAAGGTCATTAAAATCAGCCAAGCTCGTGTTTAAAAGTGGTGAAAATGGAAGAGTTTAAGAAGTTAAAATTTGTCCAGTCAAAAAAGTTAGGCTGTTTCTAGGACTAAACAAAGCCGTTTAATACACGTTTCAAGAAGAAAATTCTGGGATTAAAATAGAAGCATCTAAGTCTAGTGGTCTTGATGGATGAGAAACATGTTTTCTAGTAGGTCACATTTTGATAATGAGGATGTCAAGGTGAATTCTAAGTCTCACCATTGACTTCTAGGTAAATCCTCCCTGGCTGACCCTGTTTGGTGCACGGGGTACTGGAGCAGGACAGAAAGTGAGAATAATGGACAGATCTTCCAGTACTTCTCAATTGTAGCAAAGTCTCCAAAGAGTGAGGCATGACCAAGGTTAGAGGTGTTTACCTGGTTCCCAACAGATACTCAGTAAATATTTGTGGCATGAATGGAGGGCACCAAAAGGCAAGAGGAACTGTGTGTGAGAGAAAGCAAAGCCAGCGAGGCTCTAGGTGCCACGTTCCCAAACCTGACTTCATATAGTTCCTAACTCACTTCTTCCCAGTAGAACAGCAGGGAAGCCATACTGGTTTCCACACTGGTCTCTTCTCCCATTGTTAAGAGAGGACTGAAATCTTGAAAGAACCCCAAACTAAATGACAGATATGAAAGAATATTTATCGCTCAGTGTTTCAAATTAGATCAAGTTAAGAAAAAAGTTTACACTAGAGAAAGATTCATTGCTGGTTTTGTTTTTGTTTTTGTTTTTTTGGGGGGGGGTTTGCCTTACCTTGTGGGTTTGGGTTTGCTTCTTTAAAGGAGGGAAGTGTGAAAGTTCCCTATTCAAGATTGTCACGGTCCGCTATCCATAAGGTAGTTACAATAAGTTTGTAGAGTCCCAAAATATGACTTTATATGGCACAGCCTCAGGCCCAAAGAAACAGACCTTGTTTGTCCAGTGAGGGGGAGGTGCTTGGGTTTTATTATTATTAATTATTATTATTATTTGAAATCTACTTTCCTTTTCTTTCCGGCGCCTTATGTCACCGTAAGCCACCAGGTGGCCTGAGCACTGAAGGAGCAACACTGATGAGCCACGTGGTTTTCACCTAGGTTGTTTCCCACGGTATGAACCAAGCCTTAAGAGCTACAACTGAGTCCTTCCAGAATGTTCCTGGGCATGGTATCCATTCCAGTGAAAGCAGGATGACGGTCATTTACGCCACAAACAAAATACTGCAGTTGTAATTCCCAATGGAGAGAGGATCAAGGATGCCTCAGAGAAGCTCAGTGTCTGGCAGCAAATGCGGCATCAAAACTCGGAGGTGGTGTTCTATTTATATACGTACATGTATTTTACAAACTGGTGATGGACGGAGTACTTCTGAGAAACAATTTGTTCCAGGTCTAATTTCAAACGACGGCTGTCATTTCTGCAAAACCCCACAGTTTAGGCGATCTGTACACCAAGCAACACTGCAGGTATTCGATTTTTTTTTTCCTTAATTTCAGAGGGCGAAGACGAAGTAAAAAAAGTGCAGTTCTTCAATTAAAGTGCATGGATGAGGTAAACTAATTTCAAGAGTTTCGAGTTTATTCAGTACTGGCTCAGACAGGAACCATTCTGCCGTGGATCTGTTGCATTTGGGTTCTCATCGCCTGGACACTGCTCAAAATCTTATTCTGGTGTGTGACGACTGTGATGCCAATTCTTGCCAGGTCACTGTAGGTAGGGGGAGAAAAAAAAGAGGGAGAGAAAAAGTTACGAGGGTGCAGAATCTCGTTTCTGGGCTTCATGCAGACAGACATTTGAAATCAGCCACAATTCATACAGCACAACAAGGCAGGTGTATTAAAATGTTTAATTAAGCAATTTAACACAACAATGTAGGTGCTTTTGAGGCTCTGTAAAATTATACTCAATCAAAATGAAAGGCATTCCAGTTTGTTTTTTTTTGTTTGTTTTGTTTTGTTTTGTTTTTTTAAATGAGGAGGATGATAATGCAGCTCAAAGCAAAAAAAGAAAAATACTATTAAATCTAGATTTACCCTTTGGTGTTACATCGCTGAGTACTTACTCCTGGTTCATGTGCACTACAGCCTCTAGGGTGGTATAACCAGCAGCCGTGAAGTTATCCTTATACCGGTCCATTTTAATGGCCTGGAGCCAATCGCCCACTGATACTACGGCAGAGAATTCAGGGGAGCTTGGATCCAACAAGGCAGTGTTAGGTCTGGTAAGGGAACGAGGAAGTGGAGACAGACAAGGATTATCAGTTAGACGGCAAGACTCAGAAGTCAGATTGCTTAAGATAGGCACTGAAATGCCAAGGACAGGCTTTTTAGAGGGACTACCTATCGTCAAATGGCATCATGAGGTTTTTTTGCCCCTAATTTCACAAAGTTGCTAAAAGCGTGTATCCATCACCTTATCTGTTCTTAATTCCACTTCCTGCATTTGTTTTATGTGGACCTCTTCGTACATTAACGATCATACAGGTCTTTTAACACCCTCGCCTGGGGCAGAGATTGCGGGAGATCTTGTGGCTGAACCTGGCTCAGCCTTTGCAGGAAGAGCGCAGTCCCTGCCGCTACGGAGTATTACATACCTCAGGACAGCATCTATGGAAACCCTAGTGAAGTATGAGTAAGGAAAATTGTGAGCTTGCAACTTGCCAGATTCGATGAAGCAGAGAAAACAGCAAGAGTTTAAGTCCAGCATGCTACCAGCCAGGTTTGCAGGCAGGCTCAGTGCATTCAAACAAACTTGGGACAGCAGGGAGTTAATGCCCTCTTTAATCAGCCCATGCCTGACCAGCACATGTGCCAAGACGGGAAGGAAGAATGGCCACTTTGATCACCGCTTGGACTGTGGAATGTGCTTCTCGTATTCCCTCTTAGATAATCATTCCAACGGATTCTAAGCACTTTTTATTAAGTTATTTATTAGTTTATGCATTTCTTAGGCCAGGTGTTTTGTGTTAGGTCATTGTCAAGAGTGACAACAGTTGAAGGCATGGTATTGATATACGATAAAACATCTATCTATGGAAGCATTTATTAGGGGAATTATAGTCATCTTCAACATCAAACTACTTAATAATTGTTGGGTAGACCTTCACAGGGTATTTTATACTGCCTTTATTTTAATCTCCTGTAGAGCGACACAGCTACTTGTTTAGTTAAGTTTTCTTAACTCCCATTTTCCTAGAAATTATAGAATGCACTTGATCTTAACATTCTGACCTAATTTTCATCCTGAGACTGTGTTGCTTGAACTGAATCAGAATATTATCATTACTGAATTTTTAGCCAAAAAAATTATTTTCCTATGAAAACAAAATTAAGTCAGTGTAATGCCTTGATTAATTTTCTACGTAGCAGAATTAATCTGATTCCATTGTTTGTTTTATAATTTTTACCTGTTACTTTAATTTGCATTACTTCTTTCTTATATAACTATTTTACCAAAGACATGTTTTATCAGTTTTGTGTCCAAATAGTAGCTTGCCTTTTTGACCTTTTATGTACATTATTTCAATTCATTTTCTAAGTAAAATTCTGTAAATTTTTATAGCAAGAATAATCAGGATTTAATTCTTCCCCCAATAACAAGTATCACCACAGAGGATCTTAGACATTAGTATTAATGTTTATAAATAATATTTATCATTAGACAAAGACCAATAGTTTGCATTTCTAACTTTAAGCCAAGAGCATTAATAGGGCCACATGTAGGCTCTAGGTACCTGACAAGGTCGAAATGACCTGAGGATGAAAATATCCTCACTCAATATCAATTAACTCTAAGCGTCACTCTCAAGCTTGCTCTGGAAATCTCTGTGCTCTTTGTGGAACACCATGACATTTGCCCAATTTTGTGCTAAATCACATACAATGTTATACTACATCCCATTATCAGCAAGCAGTAATAAGCATCAAAGCTACTGAAGTACCATCAGTGAGAAAAATTTAGAATTGAGAAGAGTATATCCAATAACTCAATTTGTTCTGCATAAATGGTACAAAGCACACATTATGCAATATGAGTAACTGAAGAGTTTCTACCAGCAGGAGAAGCACCAAGTACCAATGAACGGGCCTTAGGACGCTCAGAGAGAATTTATGGGATCTGGAGCTGGAGATCCAAAAGCTGAAGGATGTTCACCTTGGAAGAGAAGAGGCCCGCTACACCTCTCAGAGTACTAAAGAACAAAAAATAGCCCAGAAATGCCAGGAGATTTTTTTTTTTTTAAGTCACTTGGCTATCAAGTGGCAGAAATAAAATGTGAATTCAGCCCAGTGTTATTTCAGAAGACCTTGATCATGAAGCTCTTGGGATTGTGGCTGGTGCTAAGGGATCTGAAAGCCTAAAAAAATAGAGGATATCTCTGCTTTCTGATCCAGATTCTTTTCTTCATGCTTTGTAATAATCAGTATATATGACAATCATTAGGCTAAGTCTTCAGAAGACTGGAGGAGATGCTCATAGCACTAACAAAGACTAGAGGGTCTTGGATATCGTGGGAAAAACGTTCTCCTATTTTTAACTCAGGGTCATGATGAATGAGAACCTTGGAGAAGTACGGATTTGGAGGTGAGTCAATACCTCACTTCTTGCAGGCCTGAAGCAGCTGGTCATCTTATGCTGATCTTAAATCATTTAATAGCAACGGTGGTTATTCCCTTTCGGATGGAACAGGTATGTAGGGACACTGAAACTTACACTAGTGAGGCCCAGTCTCCAAGTAGAAAAGTTCCTATTGAATTACAGGACTTGCAGTATCCTTACCTCCTTTCTGGACTGATAAATGCTTCTTCCTTCTGCTCTTTCCAGTGAAATAACTACCTCTTTCACAGGTGGTTCAATTCTATTCATTTTTTAAAACCCCTCTCAAACACTCATCTGCATGCTTTGTAACCTGATCACTTTCTATTTTGGTCCTGTTTCCTTCTACTCGTGAAAGACTCAAAAAAGAGAAACTCTAAGAACTAAAACCAAATGAATTTCTTGCTGTAAAGCCTATAAGCACCTATAATACTTTCTAAGTCAACTTAACACTACAGTGCAGGAAAAGCTGTCCTCGACTCCTTATTTTTTACTAACCCAGTGCTCCTTTCCCTTCCCCAAATATAGCATCTTGTGACCATCATGTCTTCCCAAAGTCCATGTCATCTCTCTTCCTAAATGTTCAGGTCTAGCATCATCAAACAAGCACCTTTGCTCTTTCTTTGTTGTCGGTTTGTTTTTATTGTTATTTTGGTTCTGTTTTTTTAAATTTGTTTTTCTTATGACTGTTCGAGGCCTGACAGGTGTTAGGCTCCTCAACATGGTGAACAAAACCATCATACGTACTCCATTAACTGAGAGAGAAGCCACCCTGGTTGCAGAGAGCTGTGCAGCGGCCTCTGACAAATAGGCAGGAATTCCAGGGAGCCAGCACTCGCCTGCCACCTCTAATGTATCCTTTCATATATCACTATTAAGCAAGCATGGCCGACCTGGAGCTCTCGGTCCCCGTCCTCTTCAAGCTGTTGGGGTTGCGGATGAGTTTGTCCAACATGTTGACAATCTGCCCGAATTTCGGCCTGTCACTCCGCTCCTTCTGCCAGCAGTCTAGCATCAGCTGATGGAGTGCAATGGGGCAGTCCATGGGAGGGGGTAGCCGATAGCCTTCCTCAATGGCTTTAATCACCTACCAAAGACAACAGAATGATATATAAGCTGTCAGGGAAGCTGTTGTTAGAGATCCACCCTCCTGACTGGCAAGTTCCCGGTACATTCAGTTGCCAGCAAGCTTGAGCATGAGAACAGCACCAGTGTCTTCACAGAAGCCACTGCTGGAGCAGAGTATTGCTGGTAACAGCGCAGGGAAGCCAGCTGCTGATACGCGGTGTTTTCAGATGGCAGGCAATTGCCAATCTGAAATTCTAAAGGGAAGATTAATTAATGTTCCCAACGTAATCAGATCAACAACCTGGTGGCGGCCTGGCCCTCCGGAGATCACATGGCAATGACCCCCCCCCCTCCTATCCAGCAGCAGCTAAACCCTCTTAGCAGAAGAGACTCTAACCTAGTGTTAAAGACCTTCCTTAAGAAGCATTAATAGGGGGGCGCCTGGGTGGCTCAGTCGTTAAGCGTCTGCCTTCGGCTCAAGTGGATCCCAGGGTCCTGGGATCGAGCCCCGCATCGGGCTCCCTGCTTGGCGGGAGGCCTGCTTCTCCCTCTCCCACTCCCCCGCTTGTGTTCTCTCTCTCGCTGTGTCTCTCTCTGTCAAATAAATAAATAAAATCTTAAAAAAAAAAAAAGCATTAATAGTTTCGTTCAAGATGGAAGTCCCTTTGAATCATTTTAAGCCTCTGTCCTCTTGCTCAGACAGCTCATGGGTCAAATACAGGAGCCCACCTTCCAGACCTCCCAATTCAGAAGACACTACCACTCTCTAAAATAGCACGCTCCTCAAACCCTCCAGATGCCCAGCCATTTTTATTTTTGGAAGACCACAACACACCAATACACCAATTCTGTATCTCATCCTTGGTCTCAGTTAGCTATCAATTGACCCTGTTAAAAGGTGTTAGTAAGTAGATTTGAAAAAAAGTGTTAGCCAAGAAAATTAAACAAACAAACATTTTTTTTAGGGCATTTACATTTTGAAGGGGATCCTTACACATCTAAGGAAAGAAGTTATATATATCTTTCCTTATAACATAAGGAAAGATATATATAACCTTTATCTATAAAGAAGTTATATATAAAGTTATTATATATATT